ATTAATAAATTTAGGACTAAACATTGGTCAGGCTTTACGAAAAACAAGAAAAAACATCATTCCTGCCCAAAAATTAGTGGCAATGAAAAAAAACAAGCATTGGTAAGTGTTTTACTAACACTTAGCACTCTACCAACACATGGAACACTGAAATGAAATAGTCACTTAATTTATACAAAGTATTGTTTTATATTAATTGTAGAAAATAACATCGATATTTCATCAAAAAATAAGGAATTTGTTGCGAAAAGTTTTTTCGAGTGCAAAGGTTAACCTTTTAGCTACTGCGGGGCTAGCTGTGAAGCTATAACTCTACAAGATTTCACATAGTTTATATATAACGAATATATCACAATTTGAGACTGATCCTCCACTGTGCAATTACATTGAATTAGATAAGAAAGAATTGCGCCCCAGTGACCTTCAAAAAGATCATATCGTATAAAAGATCGTATCGCAACATAAGATGACATCAGCGAATTACAGTGGCACATCGAACCCAAGAGGTCATTGGAGATTGTTTGGTTCTAGAACGAATGCAGGTCACTGAAATTTGTCTTATTTTCGGAAAGATCGAAGAATCTTTCCAACATCTAAGATCCGTCTCAACGATTACCTTCCAATGGCATGAACGATTATTATCAGTCAAATTACTGTTTCCAACTGTTTACACGTTGGACAAGGTAAACCCAGTTCCCGATAATTACACGCTAATGCACGGCCATTAAAACGGGCAGCTGCGATTCCAGAGAAAGTCCTGCGCCTCGTACAGTCCACGAAAGAACGAAGCGCATCGGGCTAACGTCCGACCATTGGCGAAACATTCCACTTCCCTAGTAGAATATTCATTCATACTTCCATCCGCGAGATGCCACGTCACCTGGTTAACCTTCAACTTGACCTTCCCCATCCACAAAGCGAACCTGTCGAAAAGAATCAGTAGACTGCAACAGCTGCAACAGCAAAACGTACCTCTAATCCCAACACTCCAAATCCTAAGTCCCCTAGGTCCCCAATCACATCGACAAATGAAAAATTCACAACTGCAAACCCCACTGTCTCAGAGTTCCACTAACGAAGCAACTCCGTTTCAGGTACCCGGACAGCCAGGAGCACAAGCAGTCGGAGCCGACCTACGAGCCGACCTCCTACTCCACGACCGGTCCAGAGTTCTCTTTATCTGGCCAATCGTACGAGTCCTCGCAGCCGGAGACCTTCTTCCCGGACCCGGAGACCGCGCTGAACTACAACGAGAGGCGGAACGACCGCAAGAAGCTGTACACGTCGAGGTCGATCGCGAAGGACCTGAGCTTGAACCACCAGCTCGACCTCAGCGCCGCCATCGACCAGGGGAAGGAGCAGCTCCTCCTTCTTCAGCAGAAGGCGACGGAGTTGTACCGCAGCCCGTCGCCTTATCCCCAGGGAGACGTCGTGCTGCCGTCGGGCATCCCGCCGGCGACGATAGCCGGCAGCAAGGAAGGCGTCGTGATCAGAGGCAGCGTGTCGTTGGACGACTACCAGCAGAAGCTGCAGGAAATGACCAAGGTCTGGCCGCAGTACCTGGTGAACGGCGGTTCCCCGTTGGCCGGAGGTTACCAGGGTCAGCAGGTCTTCCAGAGCTACGCGGCGCCTCAGTCGACCTCGTCGTTCACCGGCTCCTTCAACTGGCCGCTGAACATCGCCCAGCCGAAGCAAGGGTACGCCGTCAAAGAGGACACCATGGAGCCGCCGCACGACTTTCGAGTCATGCCCGTTCAGACCAGCCCTTTCCAATCGTTCCCAGTACCCGTGAACGCCGCCGTCACGCCGCTCGTGCAGTCGGTGCACGGGTAGAGCGGATCGTTAGGCTACTTTCTTGTTTTGACATGCATGCGGGATGATCGCCCATGCGCAATTAGGTTTTAGGTAGGGTTTAGCACTGACGAGAGCATTCGGTGATTCCGAATCGCAGCTGGACGAGACTTGTTGGCTGTTCGTGTCCTGAGATCTGGCGCTTTTGTTTCTTGTTTTGTCGCGGATTCGCGAGAATTGTTTGGATGTGTAAATGTTCGCGAATCGTCGGTAGCTTGACGTAGGTTTTAATTCGTCGATGGTTTCGATGGTAGAGTGAATAAAACTGTTGTCCATTCCTTTCTGCTCGTCTCGCAATGCAATTTAGGCGATCGCGTTGCAGAGGTCTTCTAAGACGTCGAGATACGATTCTCTGACTTCACTGGCGATTCGCCGAGGATCGCACCGAGTTTGCAAGCTAATGCGCACGGACGGCACGCTAGTATGCAGACTGCTTAACATGCACGTTTTAATGCGTTCCCCCGCGTATCGGTGAAAGTTATGCGCAATCTATTAATTGACGACACGCCGAGAGGTGAGAAAGGCGCTTCTCGAAGTGGAAAGTTTCCCCTTAATGGCGGCACGGCCGCTTGATATCGAGAATTCCAGAGAACTTTGCGATTCAGGATGCTTTTAGCTTTATTGTAAACATTTGTAACTGTAAACGCGCGGACGACAGACGTGAAATCGTGTCCGATCGCGCCTCCGAAGATAGATCTCGTTGAAAAATGCATGCAGTATTGTAAGATCACACGATCCGCACACGTATACTCGAGTTGATTTTCACGAATTCCGAGCGACGACGTTGGTCGCTCGGACAATTGTTATTAAATGTTTGTTGCGAGAAGTACAATGACAGGTTGTTTCCAACACTCATCCATCCGACGGTGAAGCTTTCAATAAACGAAGAAGGAAGTCCGCCACCTTTCCTTTCCCAGCGAGCGGCGGCCGAAACCTCGAAATACGGAGAAAGTAATTAAAACTGCGTGAAAAAAGAAGACGGTTCGCGAAATATCGGTAGTAGTTTCTCCCGCCGGATGCAATTACCATATTTGTCGGTCAATTAAAAACTTTACGAGGTCCGGCGCGTTCTCATTACGGACCCAATTATCATTCGAAAGTTACAGATCGCCGGGATTAATTGCGAATCCGGATTTATAAAAGCGCGTTTTGTGTAATTTCGTTTGGAATCGGCGGAACGTCGCGCGCGCGCACTGTAATCACGTGGAACAGGCAATTATCGTGAAATACACTCCGAGCTTAATTAACCTGCAAAAAACCTTGATGTACGCCGTACATTATTTTACTCTTTAAAGTGGCGCACGGATAATTATCTCTACATTTATTACCGAAACATTCGTATACTCCTGAAATTCGAAAAAATCAATTAAACTAGTCGACACAGGGTAAATCGGAAATTTCATTGATCGCACGGTTTCAGAAATGTGGATCACGTTACAAAAATTCAGATATTAATCTAACGCTAACAGTATTAACCATTACAAGATTCTAATTGGATAATCAGTTGTACAGTCTTAAATCAATCCGATTCGAAAAATTACATGTTTCATCATCAAATGACAATTCTGCTTCGAAACTGGCGATATCGTTTTGTAAACAGATGATTGGTTAATTACAGGGTTATTATCGATTGTTATATCATATATTATCGATTGTTATTATCAATTATTATAATTGATTATTAATCGCCTCAAGGTCGTATGGAAATTATTGTTTCGCGCGAATGTAGAACTGGCTTAAGGCTGCACGGTCCACTGGGCGACTCGTGTGCGCCGGCGATCCGCCGCTCGCCGGCAAAAGAACAAAGTAACGATCGAATGCCACGGTCGCGAGGATCATATCTTCCCCGTTTACTTTCACTCCGTGGTCCGATGACCGGCGGAACGGTTCGAAAGTCGAGAAAGTTGCTCCATCGCGAGAGGACGCGATCCTCTCGATTTTTGCAGGTAGATCGCTCGCCCCCGCCAATGAGCGCGAGAAGAATGTCTCTGCATCCATATGGAAGCTGGAACTTTGACACCGACAACCTCTCTCGAGGTTCACGCGAACATCCTTAAAAGGAAGTCTCGTCGACTTCGCTGCGTGTAACGGGACTCGCCATTGTTGCTTGCGACTTAAAGTTATCACTCCTTTTTCTGACTTAAATGATGATTTTTCAATCACTTTTAGAAGGGGAATCGACATTTTAGGTACAGAGAAGCTTCAAGAAATTGTAGGATTTCATTTTGATATGTCAAAGTTTTTTTGATAGAGAACATGGGAATTGCAATTGTTGGAATGCAGGAATCCGAGAAGTTTTAGCATTTAATTTTGAATCCTGAAGAGGAATCGACGTTTTAGGTATAGAGTTTCGAGAAGTTTTAGGGTTTCATCTTGAAATATTAAAGTCTTATTGACAGAGAGAATGGAAATCAGGAATTCAGGAATTTGAGAAGTTTTAGAATTCAATTTTCAAGTGTTCGAATCTTGTTTTAGTAGGAGAACAAAGGCTGAAATTTCAGAGATACAGGAATTTAAAGAATTGTAGAGTCATTAGGGATGTACTTTTAGTTCTAGCTCTGGAATGTTGATGTCGAGAAGAATAGTAACTTAGAGATTAAAAGATGCTTCAGTAATGACAATCCCGTAGGAAAGTGATTTAGATTAGCGACCCTCGTTACTGGAAACAAGTGACAGGTTTCAGTTTCGCAGGTATTGTTCGCCTCAGAAAATGGTGTCACGTATTCAAATCGACAAAAAGTGAGAAAGTTAAAAGAAACCACTCAACTCAGCTGTTGAACCGGATTGAGGGAATGTAGCAAACCCGATCCGACCTGGTGGAACAGTGCAATGCTGTTGGTTGAAAGATATCGAGGAATTGTCGCGATGAAAATGTTGGAAATGGATACAGTGTGTCTACTTTGTAAGCATTCTCACGCGGACTGGTTTGTGAAAATTGGATAGATCTCGAGAAAAAGAGGTAAACGTCTGCAAGTTAAAGGACCCGTGCTAATTCGAGCAAGTTTTTTCGAATGGAACGTCTAATACAGCTCACTCCTTCAATCTCGACAAAAAAGAAAGTAACAGTCTATCATGCAGGAGAGATCAACTATATTAATATGAATCAGCCGGAAGTTCATTACGCTTTAATGTCTGATAATTGAATGCTAATCGCTGAAGCAAATTACGAGCAGCGCACGCGAACAGTTACACAGCAATGAGATAATGAAAAGCGAGCATTACGAAAATTGCTGGGAACGGGAACTTTTCATTTTCCGCGCGGGTGTTCTCGGTGTCTCCGATTTTCCTTAATTGCGCCGGAAGAAGGATTAACGAGAAGGCTGTATTTTCTCGCGTGACACGCGAAGAAACGGTAACTCGTGTTATTTGTCATTCACTTTCAGTGTCGCAGCACCCGGTGATTCGCTCGTCGCGTGAAAGCAAAAGGTTTCCCCGATTCGTCCGTTCCTACGCCGCGAGTTTCTATCGAAAGTAAAGGTCAGGGTGTATCCTAGCGATTCGTCGGACGCATCGAAAGTGCACTCACTTGTTACACCACCTTCCCGCTGAAGTAACACGCTATTTATATTGTTCGAACGTTTAACGACCGAATCAGGAAGTTTAACAATGTAAATGGAAATTAACTTCTACACCGAAGGTTCCATTTACTTCGAAGCGTACCGTTGATCGCAGAACAGTTAGAAACTTGATTCTAGTGTAAGAACGTGTAATGTAACAGACGTGAGTTGCATTTTACGATAATGTCTACTTTGAAGCTACTCGAGCAACTAGAAGCGCATCTTCTAAGTTTCTAGTCTTCCAATGAATGCTTCAGGTGATTCCTTTCGGAATACTTTAGGAAAAGCAAAATGGCCGACAGACATAACCTGAAAAATTCATGTAACCTCGTGAGTCGGGAGCGACAAGATGGCGGTTCTCCGTTACACTGCCTAAAAGTGTCTTTCGATTCGTAGAATCACACGAAACTTATTCGTTTCTTTTATTCTTAAATTTATTCTCTAATTATTAATTACTATTTCGAAAAATGTAACGATCGCCCTACTTGAAATTTGCTTTTGTAAGAATAGAAAAGCGTCGTTCAGTTTCTAAATTAAATCGAAAGAAGCGCAATCGCGCCGCTTGGCATTTTTCGACCGTGTTTTTGCAAAAACCGGTAGGACTCGAACAGTTAAAGACTAGAAACTTAAAAAATTCCTTAACTACGGGTATATCAGAATGATTCCTCGGAAAATTGGAATAATTCCAGACCATTCTTCGCAATCCTACTTATTTCCCAGAAAGTATCGGCGACGCTAAGAAAAAGACCGCGAAAGGGCATCACCCAGGAAGTCCATTGGGAAAGTAAAATGGTGTCCAGAGCGTGTGCATGCTGAATCAAGGGGCTCGATCGCCGTCCGGACACAAAAATGGAAGTGAAAGGGCAAGCGTATCTCTCGGTGCAGTCTCTCACGGATCCTCGATCTCCCTTGCTACATCCTCGCCGATTCTTCCCTCTTATTTCCTTTTCCGCTGGCGCGGCGTGCGGCGCTTCCCGTATCGCCACTTTCTATTTCGTTCCACGGCAAGAACCTCCGGCTGCCCTCTCGCAGAGACGAGCACGGGTTACGGAGCACGGTTAATCGGCGAAGAAAGCGTTCCGTACGCGTAATCCTATCGGTATAATGATGGATCACCGGTGGCGAGGTTATTTCTCTTATTAGACGATCGACGAGTCGATTCCCGTTCGTGTTACAGTTCCGCAGGGTTCACCGATGTACGATCAAATATATTCAACGAGCAATTTGTAGCGGTCGATGCTTAAATCGCCGATCCTTCGAATATTTCAACTTTCCTCTGCTTTCTCTGTGTTATATTCTATTACCCGTCGATTTATGGTGGAGAGTAGCTCAAGGTCGATCAAGGTCGAGCAGCGTCATCGTGAAAATGTTTCGAAGTGTATTAGGATTGCAGGGAATATGGAAATCTTGGGGCTTGATTATTGGATCATTACAGGTTCTCTCCTCTCGTTTAAGATTTCGTAGAATTAATATGGTGAATTACTATATAATTGCTATTAGACTTATCGAAAAGTGTTCCTTATTGCAAAGAATCGAATCGTTTA